GGGCACCGTGGCTCATGCCTGTAATCCCAACATTTTGGGAAGGCAAAGTGGGCGGATCTCAAAGTCAGGAGTTTGAGACCAGCCTGGCCCAACATGGTGAAACCCCGCCTCTACTAAAAATACAAAAATTAGCCGGGCGCGGTGGCACACGCCTGTAATCCCAGCTACTCAGGAGGCTGAGGCAGAAGAATCACTTAAACCCAGAAGGGGAAGGATGGAGTGAGCCAAGATGGCGCCACTGCACACCAGCCTGGGTAACGGAGTGAGACTCCGTCTCAAAAGAAAAAAAGCCGGGCATGGTGGCTCACACCTGTAATTTCAGCACTTTGGGAAGCTTAGGCAGGCGGATCACCTGAGGTCAGGAGTTCAAGACCAGCCTGGCTAACGTGGTGAAACTGTTTCTACTAAAAATACAAAAAATTAGCCAGGCATGGTGGCACACACCTGTAGACCCAGCTACTCAGGAGGCTGAGGCAGGAGAATCACCTGAACCTGGGAGACAGACGTTCAGTGAGCCAAGATTGCGTCATTGCACTCCAGCCCGGGCAAGAGCGAAACTCTGTCTCAAAAAAAAAACTCAAAAATCATACAAACGCTGCTCAGGAAAAAACAACAACAGGTTCTTTAGTGGGTTGGGACGTATCCCATCTGGAAAGAGAGGGCTTCTCCCTCTTTGGAAGGCTTCCAATCTGATAGTAGCTAACCATAAGAATATTATATTTCCCTGGGACCTGAGATGAGCAGTATTGATGAAGAGAGTATAGCATCTATGAAATTATAATGATGGGGGGCCAGCTTAACTGTGCAACATTTCAACATCCAGCAGGTTTGGGCACGTCAACACTCTATCCCGTAGCAATGCTCTCCCTATGGTCTGTAAAAGGAAGGCTGGGGTTGGAGGAGGAGATCTTTCTTACCTGACGGACCCAAAGGGGCATTTGGTGGGTGTGGGGTGAGCGATGATGCAGATTGAGAACCACGACACTAAGGATGACTGAGAAGGTGACGAGGACCATGGTAAACATGAGGTACTTGATAATAATGGGCACCGAGAGGGAGGTCTCAGGTACTTTGTCAGCCAGCAGCAGCAGGAACACAGTAAGGGTCAGCAGGGCAAAGATTGAGAGTCCCATCTTCTCTCCTTTGAGGGCAGAGGGGAAGAGAGAAGGATTAGGATTTGCCCAAAAAGGGCCGGGC